CACAAACACTGGCCGCTGCCCTTCACTCTCCCTGATAGCGTACCTATAATACTCGGCCGGGGTTCCCTCCAGGCCCGCGGACAGGCTATGTTGCGCATAGCCTTGAGACCGCTAACAATTTCGCCCTCCGTAAAATCCTTGTTAAGCCAAGCAACTAATTCCTGTCGGTGCATCACCCGGTCCTCATCCTGCCATTTAAACTGGATACCCTCGTTGCAGCCTTGCCTCGCGTTTCCCGCACCATTAAGCACCTTGGAAAAATGCTCGGTAAAAGCATTAATATCTGAGATCCAGCAAGGAGGCGGTTTTCCCCCACGCAGCCATGTCCACAAGCCGCGTGGGTTGGACAGGGTGGCCTTAATCCTCCTCCGCATATTTTCCATTTCGGTCTCCTGAATAGCGGCCTTCCTAGTAGCCTCCTTGAAGACACGGTGCTTGGCCTTCCAGGTAGCCCTATGAATGTCCGGCAGCTTGCCCGAGGCGGAGTCCCTGATCTCCTTACGGAAACTCATCATATCATTCCATGCAGCGGCACAGTCCTCGTTCCACCAGTCACGCTTCACAAAATTCACCTTTTTACCCGTGCGACGCCGAACATCTCCCTAGCACACGTCCCGATTAGGGTGCGCAAGTCATTCATGCTTTCATCACAAGAGGCCCCTTCTCCTTGAGTTATCCTGTCCTCCCCACCTTACACACACACAGACACACGCACGCACACACAAGCACCCTCTCTCTTCCCAACGTATCCACCCACCTTGTCCACAGCCACCCTTCGCCCCTTCTTCCCCCCAAGAACACACACACACACACAGGTACATGAGCGTCTACTCATGTACCTGTAACACGGCTCGTTCCACAGGCTGCCGTACCCCCATGATGCGGCAGTTCAGAGCGTCGCAAACTTGGTGTTTGGAAGTTGCCATCATAGCGTAACTGCAACTGCGAGAAAGCATACGTTTTTCAAATATGCTTTGCACCATCAACATTGCTGACACGAAGAGGGAAGGTCTTTGGCCCAAACAACAAATCTTTCCTGGGAATGAATTCACACAGCGAAAGTGCTCGAATGATCGAGGAGGGATCGTGGCCAGCTCTGCAATGTGAAATTTGAAGCCGAGAGCGTCTCGGTGCGTGCGAGCACCGTTGTTTCACGTGAAGTGAAGTTGTGTTTCAGCTATTTTCGGTATTATCTGTTGCTTCTGTTAACTGAAATTTTGTTACCCGTTTGAGAATTACTTTGGTAACTGGGTTGTAACCGTATGTTCATGTCACGGAACCAAGGGTCATTTGCATTTCACTCCCCAGACTCCAGACAGCGTTTACAAACCTATCTAACCAACACTTGGAGCTCTAAATATCTCATCGCATCTCTTCCTTTCGCTTTCATGCTTTATGCGTGCGTCCAGTTACACGCGGCCGGCGGCGTTTGTGAAGTAGTAGGCTGCTGCATGCTGAACCACCGAACAGCCAGCAGCGCTTCCAACACGTTGCCTGGCCCTCCGCTTTCCGGACACCATCACACAGAATACCATATTACCATCAACTTTGAATTGGATGGGAGCGGCGCTATGTCGTTGCGTCTCGTGCGGCGCCCAAAGCAATGCCGCTCGCCCCGATATTGCCGCCAGCACCGCAACTTTTGCCAGCAGCAAGCCAAATCAAATCCGCGATCCTCCTTAGCAACAGCAGCAGCTAAAGTCGCACCGACTGCGGACGAGTCCGAGGGGGCACAGCCCATGGGTCCTTCCAGCGCACCTCAACGTCAGTTCGGACCTTTCGGCCACCAACGCGCAGCACCTTTGCCAGCTTCCCGCCATTCGCGAAGATTCGTCATCGTCCTCAGCTGTGGCTGCCGCGACCGACTCCCTTAGCCTTAGAGCTGCAACGGCAGGCCTTAGCGCAGCAGCAGCAGCAGCAGCAGCAGCAGCAGCAGCAGCAGGAGCTATTAGTCGTAGTACGAAAGGGTCGGTCGCAGGAGGAGGAGCAACAAGAGCAGGCGCAGGCCCCAGTTCAAGCATTCCAACGCGAAGCCGTCCAGCAGAGGCAAGTACGGCCAAGGGACCTGCCGCTGGTCGTCAGATGAAGATAATGTTTCGCAACGAAAGTATTTTTTAAGGAGATACTTCACGAAATTTAGTGATTTACAAAGTCTTGTCGTGTCGAAGCCTAATGTTGTGGCGCGGTGTTGTGCGGTGTTGTGCATTCCTTTGCTCGTCTTCCCCCCCTCCCTCTCCCCCTCACCCCCAGCTCCTTTCAGCATGTGGTCGGGTGCGGCCGTCTCCACCCTCTCCGCCTTCTCACAAACCGTGAGGTCGCTTCCAAGCTGCCATCCAAGTCCTCACGGCGCCGCCAGGGCCCAACACCCGCCTGCCTTGTCGGGCGGCGGCGGCGGCGGGAGCGGCGGCGGCGGCGGCGGATCTCACAGGCAGTTGCTGACGTCAATGTCGTCGATCTCGTCCACTACTACCGCCGCCCCACCTGCCACCGCCGTCGCCACGCAGTCGCCGCCAGCGCCGCCGACAACTCCCGTACAGCCGACAGCTCCCTTGTCGGGCGGCGGCGGCGGGGGCGGCGGCGGGGGCAAACAACAGTAACAACAACAACAACAACAACAACAACAACGATAACAGCAACAACAGCATCCGCAACCACGCTGCAGCAGCGGCACTGAACGCCGGCGGCGGCGGCGTGGAGCCCAGTTACACACCGGATTCGTCCACGCCAAGATCCGGCTCCGTCGGCAATGCACAGGTCAGCTACAGCTCCGCCGGCGGTGCCGCTACTGGCGGCACCGCCGCCGTCGCCGCCGCTGCCGGCGGTGGTGGCGATGACTTGTACTCCTTTGAAACGACAGGTTCGGGACGGTCGGCAATGGAGTACCAAGCCATGACGTCAGCGCTGCCGCCGCCGCCGCCGTCGCCGCCACCGACGGCGACGTCGGTGCCCGCGGGCTCAGAGGGCATCGCGGGGTTTACAGCACACGCGGACGATAACACGATACGGCAGGTGGGGGCTGGGAGGGAGGTGGTCGATTGCTGCGGGGTGTGTGGGGGGCCAGTAGGTGGGGGTGGGGGGTGGGGGTAGTCGGGGGGAGGGGGAGGG